AAATGTATGAAATTGGAATATTTACAAAAAATATGCTTAATATTTCAAAAAATATATTAAGAAATCTGTCTTGAGTCATTAATTAAAGTTGTTCAGCTGATATAATTATAGTTATTTTCAAAATATTATTTAAATTATTGTATTCATCTTAAGATTATAAAAATAAATGTATAAATGATATCTACTTACAAATTTTTAAAAAACAAAAGTATTGAATTATTATTAATAAAAAATGATGAAATATCAATATTTATAAAATATAAAGCTTTAATTATATATTATTTAAATATAGCTTTAGAAAATTATTATGTAAAACAATTTTATTTTTAAATAAATTTAACCGCCATTACTTTCCGCCAGAACTGTGCTCCGCAATCTACTTAGGAGGCTCTTCTGGCATCAGTAACGCTCCAGGGTTTGACTTTTATTTTTTTTATTTTTAGTCTTTTACAATAAGTATCTATTTTCAACAACGGAATCATCAAAATGCGACTATGGTTTCAATAAAATCTCTCCGTCCTTGCCTTTCGGGTTTGATTGTTTACGGCCTAGCATGATCATTTTTTCGTGAACTGTTCGTTTTCGGTTATCAGTTATGATCTCGGTAAACTTTCCATCTTGCTTCTCGCCTGCGTCACATGTCGCATTGTCTAGTTAAATTCTCCGTTCTTGCTTTACCGGAGTTCATATCCCGCAATTGTTATCAATCGAAGGGTGGGATTGGACTTTAATAACTTTAATAAGTTAGTTTATACTATGATATCTTGCGTATATTTTGTAAGAATTTGAAAATATGAACTTCTAACTATTCGAGGTCTGTCAAGGTTTGGTCTTATTTATTAATTTGTGAACATTTAGGATAAGAGATTCGATTTCTCTATAATGTGTAACGAAAACTTATTAGTATTGTCCGTAACACCTGAGCAAGATTCCACGAAATTCATAAAAATTTTTACCTTGCAATGTTAACATTAATGCCGCTCAGCAAAATTCATATCGATATACAAAAATTCTTCGGTAACTGTCGAAATCTCGAACAACCATAAGCCCAAAGATCGAAATCCCTAATGAACGACATCCCATGATAATTTTAGTATTTCATGCATTTTGGGATACTTTCGGGATTTGGTTATTCGGGATGTCGTTCATTCAGGATTTCGTGATTCGGGATTTTCGTACCAGACCCGAAATTCGTTTCGTGTTGAAGTATTATTACTTTATATTGTTATATATTAAAGACATTCTTCTCTTTATAAAAATTCTTACAAAATTTCTAATTTTGTGCTTTATACCCGTTTGTAATTTAGATTTTGTATAAATAGGATTAGCTCTCAAAGGTCGGAGAGACAGGCAATATGTGGTTTGAAGAAAAATAACTAAATAAAAATTATTTAACTTTTACCTAACTAAAGCTTTGACTTTTATTTCTTTGTGCATAACAAAATCGAAGGCTTTACTTAAAATTTTCATTTGTATTTATCTATTCTTATTTTGTTAAACCTTTCATTATTTTTTGTGTTATTTTGTATTTTACGTTTAACGCTGATCGCATAATCCCCGTGGAAAATACCCACTTCACGTAAATCATTCAGTATAGTCCCAGACCTTTGTTACAATTACAATTCTTTATTTTTGAGTGTCGCTTCTTACCATAGAAACAACTCATGCACACAAAAATTAGATCTAAAAGAAGGTACATGTATTAACATACCCCCGGGTTACCGATCAATTTTGATTACCTGGTAAAATACGGTAAGTCGCTGCAATATAAAAAAAACTTTAGTTATTCAAAATATGAATTTTTTGTCCACTATTTTTTCTTTATAAAATAACTTGATAGACAAGTCCTTTTCTTGAGCATTTTTACGGTATGACATTCTTTATTAGCAAAATTTTTTGTATACGCAATTTGAATTTAAATAGGAATTAAACAAAAAGAATATCTTTCTTTAATATACAGATTCAATTTAATATTTTTTTACATGTATATTGTTAGGTAAATATCAGATTTATTTGGGAGATTTAAATCGTATATATTTAGCTTTTTGAAATTATTCTTTTATCTCTCAGATTCATGTATAAACTACTTATTTAAGTTAAAAACATAGACTTACTCTTAACGATTTTTTTTTTGATTATAGCCTTCTCAAAAATCAATACCATAATCATAATTATAATCAATACCATAATCAATACCATAATCATAATCATAATTATAATAATCATAATCATAATCATAATCATAATCATAATCATAATCAGAATAATCATAGTCATCTAAATAATCCATAACTTCGACATTAATTCCTTGATCTTGAAATTTTTTAGCTTGATTTCTGGTCACAAAGTTTCCGTAACGAACATCAAGTTTTTTGATGCTGATATCCAAGCTTGAATCGTAAATTGCTTTCCAAATAGTTTCCAAATGTTTATCTGAAATTTCTTCCGATTCTGGAAAGCCTAATGACTGAAATTTTATTCCTTTTGCCCCATGAAAAAACTTTTCAAGTGATTCCTGTGAAAACTCGAAATACCCTTCAATGCAAAGAGTCTCCAGTGTTTTTGGTAAGTTTTTCCCGAGTTCCGACAAAATTTTGTCGCCGTTGTTCTCAATAGATACGTGAATATTTAGACTTCTTAAATTATTGAACAGTTTGATATAGGAAATCAGCTGAAACAATTCTTCATATTCGAAGGGATTTTCTTCGAGGAAACAAGAACAATCTATCTTGAGATTTGAAAGGTTAGGCGAAACTCTAGAAGCGGATTCAAGAATTTCTTTACTTTTTTTAACATTAGAAATGCTTAATTTACGCAGTTTTCTTAATGATGTGTCTGCATCTGGTATTTGGTAAATATTCCAATCTCCCATAGGTAGATTTTCCACACTATGATAATTGAGTTCAAAAAAGACATTCTCAGTAGTGTTGACCAATTTATGGCAAAGCAATTTCAAAATAGACGATGTCACAATATTTAATGACTGATTATCTTGTCGAGTCGGAAAACTTAACAACAAATAGTCTTGAATCGCTTCCGCCAGAAGTTGCAAGTTTAGCTGCTTGATTAATCGATAATATATAAATGGTGATCCTTGTTGGTCATTTATAAGAGTTGAAATAAATGCTGGACCGCTGTGTGATGAAAAAGGAAATGGATTTCTCCATAAAATTGGGATTGCATTGATACACCAGTGACGATTGACGAGTGCACAGTTAAATAAATTTTGTCTATGGTGATCATCAATCTTGTCGACACTGACGAGTTCAAATATTTCTTGGAGACATAATTCATTGAGTTTAGCAGCCATTTTCCTTTTGAAAAATGTAAACTAACGCCAAGTTACGTATACAAGTATAAATACTAATGCATGCATGTATATGTATCAACAAATGTTGTACCAGTGTAGCCGGAAAAATGTGCCGGCAATTGCATCGGATAATGCACAAACCTTTCTATGAAATTCGTATTCAAATTACGGTTAGATAGAAGGAGAAAAATAACTTTGGCCCGCGTGTTTCAGATATCCCAATATCTTTATGTCCGACAGATTAAGATGACTAAAACATGAAGATCATTTGGCCAATAATTAAATGTTTTTGTAGTTTGTGGTTTCGGTATTGCCTTTTTTGTTCTGCATTAAAAAATTCCAGTTTAGTCAATCATGAAAATAGTTTCGTCACAGATATCATTAGTACATTGTTATGGTCTCCTCCAGCGCCGTTCATGAGTATTTATATTATTATTAATAATTTAATTGATCCCGAAAGGAATTGAACCTTCATCTCAGAAGAGACTAGCCATACGGGAACCTGAAAGAGACGAGAAAAACTACATTGGGACCTTTGTTTGAGTTATACGTGAGAGGTGAATGGTAGCAAAATTATGTAAGTATAAGTAAAGAAATATAATTGAAGTTATTTTATGCTTCATAAAGTTAGTCATTGTTCTATGCACACTTGTATAAATTATCTACCAGCAAGTGAATGTAAAGTACGGAGAATTTAGCTATGTCACGAATGATAGAGAATTTATCTGAAAGATAAAAGAAAGCACTTGCTGATGCATGGGTAAAACAAGATGATTATTTTTAAGAAACCGAATATCGAACCTCGAGTTTTTGAATTATTGCTAAAAGAATTTCATGCTAAAAATGATATAATATTATTAAATACAGTTACATCTCCCTAAGTGTCCCCCCCCCCCCCCCCCTTGGGATTATAGTAAAAGAAAATAAAAAGTGTGCATTTATAGAGGTCAAAATATATAGAGCTCTTATAAGCTGGGATCAGAATATACCGTGCATTTAGAGAGGAGTTATATAGTACGTGCACTTAGGGAGGGT